CACTTCCCTTCAAAAAAATGTTAAGATGACTCTATGGCAAGGAGGTTTTGAGGTTGCTCTGTTGTTAATGCAGGGGCTGAGGGTCATCGCTGTCATTGTCATCATCACTATCACCTTCAGGTGCAGTTGTGGTTGCAGGGTTAGAGTGAAAAATAATTAATCCAGAAGTGGATGGCCGTGGTTCATTATCTTCTGAGTGTTTCTTGGGGGTTGGCTTAAAAAAGACATCCAGTGTTTGCTGCTGTGCCCTTTTTTTTCTTTCATGAAGAAGCTGTTCATAGGGTGCCAAATAAGACCTTATTCCACGAACTGCTACCCTGCTGCCTTCTGCTTTGTAATCATTGTCCTCTGAGAGGTGCAACTGCTTCTCAATTTCCCTCAGGATAGAAGACAAAACAGAATTGAAAAGCTCTGGTGGTGCTGCATCCTGGACTTCATCATCTTCTTCATCTTCAGCTTCCACTTCCCCCTCAGTGACAAGTTGTTGTCGATCAGCTGTAGAGAGGTCTTCACAGTGGGACTCAAACAGCCCTTCAAGACCCTCACTCTCCATTTCTTCAAATCCAACTTGCTTTGCAAGATCAACACAATGTTCTTTGATTCTTGGGAGCTCCTCTGATGGTTCAAAGGTTTTAAAATCTTGAAAAAAATCTGGGAGAAGCTTCCACCAAACTGCATGCAAGCAGTCCTTACTGATATCACCTCAGGCCTCCACGATAATGTCAATTGCATTCTTGATGTTAAAGCTCTTCCAAATTGAAGAATACTGTCTTTAACCCCTCAGTGGCTGCAATCAGCTTCTTATATGTGTGCCTTAAATAATAAGCTTCAAACGCTGCTATTGCACCCTGGTCCATGGGTTGAAGGAGAGAGGTTGTGTTTCGGGGGTAGAAATAGCACTTTGATGTTTTCAGCTCACCAATGGTGGGAGGATGGGTTGGCACATTATCCAAGATGAAGAGAATCTTGAAATCCAATTTTTTTTTCCTGCTGTACTTTCTAAAAACGTCTTCCAAAACATCATCAATAACGTCAGAAAAAAAATTGCCTCGTCATCCAACCTCTTTTGCCAGACCTCATTTAGATGTCTACAGTAGACTTAAAGTAACTTTTCAAGGCTTGTGGGTTGGCAGAGTGGAACACCACCTCAGGCTTAAGCTTTAACTTTCCACTGGCATTGACACCCAGCAGCACAGTTATATGATCCTTTGCCACCTTAAAGCCTGGAACATGCACTTCATTCAGTAGAAATGTCGGTTCTTGATGGCATTTGCTTCCAGTATAAACCTGTCTCATCTAAATTGAAAATTTTATCTAAGTTGTAGCCTCCTTTGTCAATTAATTTTTTTACTTTGGGAGGAAACACGATCGCATGCTCCTCGGCTGCACTGGCACCTTTGCCACATAACGTTACGTTACGAAAAGCATAGCGGTTCTTAAAACCAGCCACCGCTAGCACTGAAGGCAGGAACATCTGCAGGATTTTCAGCTTTTTTTTTGTTAGATCTTCATAAATTGATAAGGCTTTCTCTTTTATGCTGAGAAAGGTGGTCCCAGATTGCTTTTTCATTTGATTTTCTATCCACACAGTTAGAAGCTGCTCCATCTCCTTAAGTTCCTTTGTCCATGACCTCTCAGATTTGCTAGCTCTCAGACTTGTTCCAGCAATACAGCTTGCTTAAATCTTCTCTGCATTGTCTCTAATACTGCATAAGGTAGACTCATTTATTCCTGTTATGTGAACTATATCATATGTCCTCTCACTATGCTCAAAACACTTCATAACATCTAGTTTCTGTCCCAGTGTTATAGCCTTTCTTTTATGTTCACCACCCACAATTTTATCACCAGGATGCTTCTTGCTAACATTTCTGTCACTTTGTCCTCTCATTTTTGAGGTTAACCTGGCAGAATTTGCAAAACAAAAACGAAAATCACGGAGTACTGTATCTCTCTCAGAAAGTGCTTCACAGCAAAGTCTGCGAAATGATCACGTGATGCCAGTGTGGAGACTCTTTGGCGCTAAAATTGTGCATATTCAAAGCCGTGATGTTGACACGTACTCCTCTGCACACTGATGGAATCACGTTATATACAACACAAGTTCACATTTTAGAAATAGCGTTCCCATATTTGTCAGTCGCGTTACAGCCAATTCGCATTGCCGGAACACGTGTTATAGCAGAACCGACTGTACACACTCACACCATGGGTAAGGCCTCATCTACTCCACTACATCCAAAAGAAACAGATTTAAACATCAATGACAGGTTTAGGTAGTCATTACCAGACCTCATTGTATAACATTAAGTGCTAATGAATTCTGTCCTCCTTTGTTAAAACTCTTCACTGTTCCAGGATCATCTTGCAATCTGACTTGGCTTCTCCACTGCCAACTGCCTTTTTAAACTTGATCTCTGCCATACCCTTGACCTTCACCTCCAACAATAAGTTCCTTAACTCAAGTGGCCAGTGTTCGTGAGAGGACAAAGAAGATGCCTCAAAGACAGGCTGAAGCACATCTTGAAGTGTGACAGAATTGCCATTAATGGTTGGACAGGAACTTGCTGCCAGTTCAAGACAACAACAACTTGACAATCAAGTCGTACCATGCTTTGATTCCGAACATTTTAATGATGAAGTAGATTTGCAGCAGAAAAGGCAAAAGAAATGAAAGCACATCCTGTACGCTCTGGATTCCACTGCATTGCATGCCCTGCCCCATTTGTCCAAAAACCTGCAAATAACAATGGGCCCTTCAGTCTCATGAAGACCCATGGCAGAAACTCCTGATCCTCAGTAGATGTCACCCTTGAGTTGAGGGGTGATGACCTTTTGGTGTCAATATTAGTGACATATAGGTGGAAAACTCTCTAACATTGGTTGCCTCAATACAAAAGCTGTACTGACCATCGCAGGTATATGTTATCTACAGTTGGTGGACAACTACAGTGTTGTTACCCCTCCTCCAGATTTGCACATCACTCTTGATATTTTCAATTCTACACTTAAGATACTTGAACAGTATTGCCAAATCAAAAGCTCTAATCTGCAGCTGTTAAACATTTCATCTATATATGCTGAAAGAAGAGTCTGGAATATGTTGACCACTTCCCATCGAATCTCTTCTGCCATTTATTATGATTATTGTTGATTGAACACTTCAATTTATTTTTATTCAACCCATCTCCATGTCCCTGGAGGCTACTAGTCATCAGAAATCCATCAGTCTCCACTGTTTTCTTTTGCACAATGGCTCAGTCTTTGAATATGTTGACAGGGTGGATCCTGCTACTGGTTGCCCAGAATGAAGTCAACCTACATCACGCTATACTGTAATCACCTTAGTAGCAAGACAACTATGACAGGGAAACAAAGAAAAGGGTCCACAGAACCCTTAATCTTGTGGGACGTCCTATCTGTTTTGTCTGAAGATCTGTGGGTTGAAAATTGTTCTGGTGGGTCATGGTAGAAATTCCTAACTTCAATTAGTTTTCAAATCAAGGAACAAATAATGAACCTTTAGAAATGTAAATATATTGAATATGGGATTGGGTGAATGAATGTATAAAGGAGTGTATACCTGAGGGTGATTACAAGAAGTTCAGATGGTATCCTTGATACAAGAGTGATTTGCAAATCTAATCCTTAAGCTTAGAGAATCTTGAGCTAGCTCCCTGGTATTTTTCTAATATATTAATGTATGAAATCTTCATAAAGAAAGTTGGTTCATATATTGTGCTGTCATATTTACAAGCATCATCTGTCTATACAATTGCCTTTTCCATGTGCGTTGGCATTCATAGAGCCATTAACAATTGTGATTTGTTGCTTTCATTATATTTCATGGGCTGTGTAAGCATCACTGGCTGGGCCAGCAGTTGTTGCTCATCCCTAATTGCCCTTCAGAAGCTGGTGGTGAGCAACAATGCTGATTGTATTGAGAAATAATGTCCTATTGATTATAATATGATTTTTGTTATCTTTGAGAATGTCTGTCCGTTTCATTTAGATGAAAAAGAAGGAGGCTGATGTGGAGCTGACATTCTGGCAAGCATGGGTTGGCATGAATGGTCTGTTTGTGCTTCATATCCTATATAATTTATCAGCTAAATTGCAAGTAATGTTTTACCACAGACTTGTCAAAATTGTTGTATTAAATTCGGCTTTCAAAAAAAAACCTTATCAAAGGCTGAATGTTTATCATCACTTAACAGAATTAGTTTTTGCCCCAGGATCATTATGTTTCAATTGAACCAGTATTGGGAATTGTAGGTATGGATTCTAAATCTCCTTGCAGCTTGACCTAGTTTCTTTGGCAACATATTACAGTGACTGCGTAGACAGGCTGATTGCCACTTCTGACGAAAGGCAAATACAGAAACCCAAAAGGGCAGGTCATTTGTGGGTGTGCTACTGTAAAATGTTAGTTCTTTTAAAAAAAAAATGAAAAAGTGCTTCTTTTGGCAGATATGGAAGTAACCAAATAGACGGCTTGTAAGAATGCAATTTGGTTGTCTGCTTTGGACAGAGGGAATGCTTTCTGAATTAAAACACTGCAGTATTGTCTCCTATTAAACAAAAAAAATACACGTGTTTGTTATGATTAGACAAGGAATTGGCAATACAACACTCCAATGCACACAAAAACAGCATTTTATTGGGTCTGGTATTTGGTCAGTTAGTTGCAATTATGCAGTAAGAGAAGAAATTTGTGAAATTTATCTCATGATGTTGTGTAGTGTCTACTGTTAAAATATATTTAGCTGACATAGCACTAACTGACTTAACCTTCTTACATTTGCTATGTTTCCTATTCTATTTCAATCAAGTCTATGTTTCTGACCTTAACTATCCATAAAAGTACGTTTCATAATTGATTATTCTGTATGATTTACTATAAAACATCAAACAAGTGCCTACATGTAAGGAGACTTGATAAGTTTGTCTTTTGGGTATTTTCTGTGTCATCTGTCTATGCTATTTATGTTTACACTTAGACTCTGGCCATTAACCGAGGGGAAAAATTGAAAATCCTGACAGTGAAGGTCAGCATTCCTGACAGAGTGAAAAATGAGTTCTGTAGATGGTGCGTCAATGAAAGGTCTGTCTATGCACGAATAAAGCTTCATGTTCGAATATACTTTGTGCACTATTTCTTTCTTCTAAAGATGCTAGGTAGGGGGATGTCTTTGAATGAGTGTATCTGAGCATCTACTAATGTCTGGCATAGTAGGTGTGCAAATTAATTCACACTTTGATTCTGCCATCCCACTAGCCTTTTGGAAAGTGACTTGCACTGCATTGGGATGCAGTTGATGGAGTCATTAGGAAAATAAATGTATGGATACACATACCACACCAAAATGAAGCAGCCCTGCTGTCAACACAGTATAGAGGTTAAGATCTAGAAATTTTGTATCTTTTAAAATTCATTCATGGAATATGGCAACATTGGTTAGACCAGCATTTATTTCCCTTTCCTAATTAAGCGTCAGCCATTTTGCTGTGGGTCTGGAGTCACATGTAGTTCAGACCAGTGTAGGATGGCAGATTTTCTTCCTTAAAGGGCATTAGTGAACCAGATATGTCTTTACGACAATCCGTAGTGGTTGACATTAGGCTAATATTTTATTCCAGATTTTTATTGATTTCTAATTTCACCATCTGCCACGGTGGGATTTGAGCCTTGTTCCCAAAACATTAACTACGAGTTCTGAATTATTAGTCCGGTGACAGTACCATATTGACACCATCTCCCCTATTCTCTTAACTTGATACACCTTAAATTAAGAAAATTATGGGTTATAAACAAGAATTCCACAACACATTTTGTTAATTTTTTGGATATCTTTGTTGCCATAAATTCTGTTCAGGACTGAATCAATTTACAATATACTTAGAAAGAAATAAGAGATTATATTTATATACAGCTTTTTATTACAACTGGTATTCCAAAACACTTTACATCTGCTGAAGAACTTCTGAAGTGTAGCCACTGTTGTATGCAATGAGAGGAACAGTGTGTGCACAGCCCACTAACAGCAGTCTTATAAGCAATGGCATGTTATTGTGTTATTGCCTAAGGGATAACTATTGGCCTGGATGCTGGGGTAAATTCCCATACTCCTCATCAAAATAGTACCATGACATCTTTTATGTTCACTTAAGAGGGCAGACACACTTAGATTCAATGACTTATCTGAAAAGCAGCAACTCTTGACAGTGCAGCATGCCCTTACCATTGCACTGGGAGTGTCAGCTTTGACTTTGAGCTTCAGTCCTGTGTTGGGACTTGAGCGTAGAATCTTCTGGATCAGCTGACAGTTCCTCAACTGAGGCACAGTTGACATCTCTTTAAACTTGCAGAGGCATGAACTGGACTGAAATCTTAAATCCACATTTATGCCAGTGCAGGTTTTTAAAAAGATGTTCCAGAAGAAAAGACTGTCGGGGCTCCATGTCAGAGATCTTTAATTGCATTTCGTTTTTTCTTTCTGAAACTATCTGCAATGTTTTCTTTATTGTGTTCTCATAATTCTATATGAAATGTCATGATTTACCAAACATAAGTGTTCATTTGTAGTAATGCACCCATGGTCAAATTCATGAGAAAAGACCTGAATAGTAGAGAGGGTATCTGCTGTATATCCTTCAAAATTGTGTCCTAGTGAATGTAACTGCAGTTTCTTCATGTTAAATATAACTATATAGCCTCATCTCTGGTGTCATCACCAGTGAATCAGCAGAAAGGTAGGAATCACTAGTTGCTAAGAAACCAATGCCACCAAGATTCGCATCAAGACACATAATCTGCGATAACTTAGAGACACCCACAGCCCTCCAGAACCTTTCTCCCTTCCCCTTCCCTCTTACTCCATCCCCTCCCCCAACCTACCTCCTTTCATGTGTACACTATCCCTCCTACCTTCCGCTCTCTGATGCTGAACTTTCTGTACTTAGCAAAGGTCTCCGTGTTATCCCTCTATATTCCCACCGCAATGAATTTCAGGCACGACATGAAGTTGAACTCTTCTTCCATATCCTATGCCTCCATGTCGATTTCTTTGGGACAAGAGTCCTGTCCGTGTCCCACAAACCCCTTCGCCACCTCCAATACTCTCCATCCAGCTGGACTCTTCCCTCTGGCCTTCTACCTGCACTTGACCTGTTCATTGAGACGTGTCGATGTAACATTGGTCGCCTTAATTTCTCTGCATCCACCCCCCACCCCATTCCAACCTATTCTCTCGGGAACTGACTGCAATCCGTGCTCGGATCCAACTCTGACATTGTTATTAAGCCTGCTGATAAGGGGGTGCTGTTGTTGTCTGGTGGACTGACCTCTGCATCGCAGAGGCTGAGCGCAAGCTCCCTGATACCTCCTCCTGTTTCCCTTTGGACCATGACCCTACGATGGAACATCAGGCCATTGTGCTAACTATTGATAGTCTCCCAACCCCGCACAGCTGGCTTCTACCTCTTTCCCAAAATCCACAAACAGCACTGCTCAGGCTGACCCATTGTTTCTGCTTGCTGCAGCCCTCACACCCTGTTTCCCCTCTGCAGCAGCGATACCATCCCACCAGCATCTACATCCAGTGGATCATTTCTGCCACCTCCAACGAGATGCCACCCAGAAGACACCCATTCCCCTCCCCTCCCTTGTCAGCTTTCTTCAGGAACCATTCCCTCTGGGACGCCCTGGTCCACTCTTCCTTCACTCCTAACAGCCCCCACGACACCTTTCCCTGCAACCGCAGAAGGGTGTAACAACTGCCTGTTTACTTCTTCCTCCATCGTATCCAAGGGCCCAAACATACCTTCTAGGTGAAGCAGCACTTTACCTGCACTTCGCAATCTAGTCTACTGCATTTGCTCCTCACAATGTGGTCTTCTCTACATGGGGGAAATGAAGCATAGACTGGGTGATTGCTTCGCAGAACACCTACGTTCTGTCCGCGAGAAAAGGCCCTAAAGTTCGAGTTGTCTGATACTTTAACACAACATCACGTTCCCTGGCCAACGTCTCTGTCTGAGGCTTGCTGCAAGTTTGAAGAACAACACCTCATTTTCCACTTTGGGACCCTGCAGCCTTCTGACATCAGTTTGACAGCTTTAGTGCTTGAGCTCTCCCGTGTCCTTACCCCAGTCTCCACACACCAGGCTGCCTTGTCAAATAGTCTGCTATTACACACAACTAACAGTTCCCATTAATAGCTATTCACCCTCCTAGACAGATTGTTCTCTACTGTTTTGTCCAACCGTTCTCCTCTCTCTTTGGGCTCTATCCCTACCTATCGTTTACTCCTTACACCCTCCCCCCACCCTATCTTCTGCACATAAACTGACCATTTTCCTAGCTACCATCAGTTCTGAGGAAGGGTCACTTGACCGGAAATATTACCTCTGATTTCTGTCTGCAAATGCTGCCAGACCTGCTGAGCTTATCACGCAATTTCTGTTTTTGTTCCATTAAGATTGTTTGTTTTATCCCATCCTGAGAGTCTCATGATTCAGTGATAATGTAGTTGTTGACTAACCAAAGAATCAGTGTCCATCAGTGAGTTTACACCAAATCCAAGAACGACATGAGAACCCAGGCAGTTGAGTGCTTTGGGGACTATGAGTTCAAAGTTACCTTCTTCTGGTACAAGTCATTTTGTACTATTTAAATATTCCTTCCATATTTGGATGCAAAAGCTACGTGTACAGTAATTATCAATTCCATGCCTTTGTCTTCAGTATTAGATATGTGATGGAAACTGCTGACCCTGCAGGGGTAGCATTGTGAACTGCGGATATCCTTGGTCACTGAGGGTATATGAAGATTGCAGTTTTATTTCCTGTCCTGTCAGACGGAAGAAAAGCAATATTTGAAAAGAAAAAATAATTATCAAATGTTTGTACTAAAATACATTTTGAACCCTAATGTAGATGGAGACCACGGTACTTCGCAAGGCCTGAATTGATGACACTTTTGAAGGATTCTGTTGAAGATTCATATAAACGTCTCATATATCCACTTCTGTGCAGAGAATTCAGGTGAAGACTGTTTTCAAAGTATTTTCAATTACTTTTCTTTGCAAAAAAGTTAAATCTTTTTGGGAATGATGCAATCTCAACTAATTGGTATTTTGTTTGTGCTAATTTTCAAATGTGAACTTAGTTGTTTAAGTATCAGAGATAACAAGATGTAGAGCTGGATGAACACAGCAGGCCAAGCAGCATCATAGGAGCAGGAAGGCTGACGTTTCGGGCCTAGACCCTTCATCACCTTGTTATCTCAGATTTTCCAGCATCTGCAGTTCCCACTATCTCTGATACTTGTTTAAGTTGGCCAATGGTGAAGAAATGAATTGTAGCCAAGATCTTTCTACACTTCCTAGCAGGTGTCACTGTGGCGTGAACAAGAGCAGAAACTTTGGCCACGCTTTCTGTTATCGTTGCCTTCAGCTGCAGTGTCATGTTTTAGGGTGTGTGACTATTAGTTACTAATTTTGAGTGATTTATGTGAAGATTCAAAATTAAACTCTGACAAACTGTTGACGTTTTAGTTTCTGTTGTTGCGAATTATGGATTGGTAATAAACATGTAAAGGAGATTCAAAAAACAAATAAGATCTCCAGCTTTATAAGAAGAGACATGGTGTACAAAGGCAAGGAAGTAATGCTAGCCCTTCATAAAACACAGATTATGCTCAACATTCCCTTTACTTCCGGTTTGTACATGGCCAATTCACTTAAATGTGGAATGCCTTAACTTATATTGTGTGGCTGTACATATGGTTTGTAAGGAGATGGTTTGTGTAGAATATGTGCCATAACTTCTGGTTTGTCGCTGCACAGCTAAGAATATTAGCTTGTTCCCAGTTGATGTATCATGACTAGTTTTGGGCACCACATTTTAGTAAGGAAGTTACGGTCTTAGAAATGAAGTAGAGAAGATTTGCCCTGAGGAAGAAACATCTCCAATTTGTCGAAAGATTGGAGAATCTGAGGTTGTTTTCCTTATGATATAGGAGTTTTAGAGAACTTTGATAGAGGAGTTCAAAATCCATGAAGGCTTTTCAAATGAGTTATGAAGAAGCTGGGACTGGTTACAAGCAAATACAGATTTAAGGTAATTGAAATGGAAAAGTTTTTGCCAGGAAGTTACAATCTGGACTGCAGTACGTGAAAACATGATAGAAGCAGACGAAATTGCAATTTTCAAAAGAGAATTGGATAAGTACTTAATGTGGGGAAAAAAATAGGGATGTGAGGAAAGAATTCTTTTGGTGCTGCATTATTTTGATTCCGTGATAAATATTGAAATGATATTGAACTGTTATTTATAAGTAAATATGCAACATAGATGTGAGCTCTAGACTTTCTTTGTTTTTTTTTAAGATCCCGCTTAAGCACAGATGCTGAGAAGGAATCTGTTGCAATGTTTGGGAGAAACCTTCGACAGCTTCTTTTAATTAATCCTGTTCGTGGCCGAGTTCTGATGGGGATTGATCCTGGCTTTAAGCATGGCTGTAAAATGTCAATAATTTCAGCTACAGGTAGGTTCCTCTGTTTTTGGAAGGATTAGGTATTTTCATGAATGCCTGTGTACACTTTTCGAAATAGGTTATGACGTTAAACATGAATTTGACAGCCAAATGACCTTGCAAATAAATTTTAGTTTAAATAGTCATAAATGATACATCTTGCAAAACCAAAAAGAATGCACTCTTCTCTGCAGACCCGTGGCACCAAAGGCAGCTCCAAAGTTTTCTTAACTTTGCCTCTGGTATGGAGGATCTCTCACTTTTCTACTCAGTTGAGTGGTCCTCGAGCTATTTTCACTGGTAGCCTGATTCCATCCGACGTTTCTGGAGACAGTAGTCCTCTGCATGACGCATACTTGCAGAGCATCCTCAGATGGATTCATAACAATGATGGAATTTAGTTCCCACGAACTCCTTTATGTGACCCCTGTTAAATAGTTAAAAAGCGAAGCAGTATCAATAAACTTGTCTGCTTGACAGAGCATGCTGTAACTCTGTATTCAGCTTTTGTGACCTCTTTAACTGTATCTCTTTCTCACTCACCTAGCTACTCACTCGCACCCACACAGATACTGTCC